TCCCTTGCCCTGCTGGATTTCTTGCTTTGCAGCCATTGTGCTCACAGCATTGTGCTGGACTATTTGCAGCCAGAGGCTGCTGGATGGGTGTGTGTGTGTGTGTGATCACTTTGCTCTGGGACTTGCCAGAAACGTGGAAGCATTTGGAGGAAAGTTGGAGCAATAAAGAGGTAGTTTCAACTATCAGCTGACTGTGTTGTCTCTGTGCCATGCCCCAGGTCATCACAGATAGTCAGATGCCATGATGAGTCTATATACCAACAAAGATCTAAATTATTCAAATTACGGTATTCCCTGTAGCACTCTAAGGAAACCATAAGTAGAGCCTGAAAAAGAAGGCTAGGATGAGTATTGATTCCTTTGAGCTTTTGGTGCTGGGGAAGACTCCTAAGGCTACTGTGGACAGTCAAGAAAAAACGAAAATGGATCATTGAACTCATCAGCCCATAGATCTCCCTCAAGACACAAAGAGCCAGGCTCAAATCTCCCTACTTTGGACACATGATGCAAAGACCCTTATGCAAAGATTCTGAGAAAGGTGGAAGGAAAAAGTAGACGAAAATGACCGGCACCAAGGGGGATGGATTCAATTACAGTGACCAAGACGAGTGCGCTATTCAATGGCTGAAGGACCAAGTTAGGGACAGATCGCCATGGAGAATATCTATGCAGTCCCTAAAAATCAACAGGAACTTGGTGGAACGTAATCAGTTGATCGACTTACAGTTCCTGATGGGCAGGAATCCGTGGCAATTGGATTGAAAATCTACCATACAACCCAGAATCTGTTCTTTTCAATGAAATCTATCTTTCTATCTATCTGTCTGTCTGTCTGTCTATCATCTATCTCTATCTCTCTATCATCTCTCTATCTCTCTATCATCTATCTATCATCTATCTATCTATAATCTATCTATCTGTCTATCATCTATCTATCTCTCTATCATCTATCTCTATCATCTATCTATCTATCTCGCTATCATCTATCATCTATCTATCTCTAATTATCTATTATCTATATCTATCTATCTATCTATCTATCTATCTATCTATCTAGATCTATCTATCATCTATCTATCATTTATCTCTATCTCTCTATCATCTATCATCTATCTATCATCTATCTATCATCTATCTCTCTATCACCTATCATCTATCTATCTATAATCTATCTGTCTATCATCTATCTCTATCATCTATTTATCTATCTATCTATCATCTATCTCTTATCTCTCTATCATCTATCTATCTATCTATCATCTATCTATCTCTCTATCACCTATCATCTATCTATCTATATAATCTTTCTATCTGTCTATCATCTATCTGTCTATTATCTATCTCTTTATCATCTATCTATCATCTATCTATCTCAATCTCTTACTATCTATCATCTATCTATCTATCATCTCTCTCTCTCTCTCTGTCTCTCTGTCTCTCTGTCTCTCTCTCTGTATAAAATATATCTGTCTTATTTAAAATAAGTTGCGGTTCACCTCTGAATTTCCGTTATCCTATAGCGCCCTCTACTGTTCAAAAGACAGCAAACCAGCAGGGTCTAATGGCTGCAAAGCTATTTGGTTTGCCATAAATCAGAACCTTTCCAGATGAACAATTTTTGATTAAAAGGTAGACGGTCCAGAAGGTCACTTTATCAGGTGCCTGGTGCCTGCAATGTGGTTTGTTGGGTTGTGATTTACTGCTTTGGAACCAGTCCAAAAAGAAATGTCTAAGCCAAGCCTAACCTAAGGAAGAGAAGGACTAACGGGTGACATAATAGCAGTCCCCCAGTCATTGAGGGGGTTGCCCCAGAGAAGAGGGAGTCAAGCTATTCTCCAAAACACCTGAGGGCAGGACAAGAAGCAACGGGCGGAAACTAAACAAGGAGAGAAGCAACTTAGAACTAAGGAGGAATTTCCTGACCGTTGGAACAATTAATCAGTGGAACAACTTGCCACCAGAAGTTGTGAATGCTCCAACACTGGAAGTTTTTAAGAAGAGATTAGATAACCATTTGTCTGAAGTGGTGTAGAGTTTCCTGCCTGGGCAGGGCAGGGGGTTGGACTAGAAGACCTCCAAGGTCCCTTCCAACTCTGTTATTCTATTTCTATTTCTAAATTAGGACTAGAACTCACATTCTCCCAATATACAGTATTGCAGCCTAGTGCCTTATGTCAGCACTAGAGTAAATGCAGTTTGAAGTGCTGACACCTATCCTATCCTATCCTATCCTATCCTATCCTATCCTATTCTGTTCAGTGGAGGAAGGGGTGATCTCAGTTTTCTTCTCGTCTTTGTTGCTCTAACTTCTCCTGTTGTTTCTCAGGAGGAGAAATGCTACGATTTCCAAACCACTGAACTCCCCCGTCAGGTGGCAAAAAAAACTCTTGATTGTTTTGCTGACAGATTTCTGGCTTTAATTCTTTGGATTATTTATGGGCTGTTCTCCACTCCTTCAGGGAGGCACAGAAGATCCAATAGGTCAGAAGCAGAGAAGATACATACCTGACAACTGGAAAAATCCAGCACCTTGCCTGGAACGCCATAAAATTGCCCTGAGGTTGCTAGGCAACCTCGATTTTATTTTCCATAACGATCTCCACAATCTGGCAAATTACCAGTTAAACAACCAGAGGGGGAGAGAAATGGACCACATTGATCATGCTGTACCACAGGTAAGTCCTCAACTTACAAATACCCGTTTAGTGACCATGTGAAGTTAAAACTGCACTGGGAAAAAAAAAAGGAACCTAGGACGGATCCTCGCATTCACGACTGTTACAAGCATCCCCAGAGTTGTGGGATCAAAATTTGGGCGGTTCGCAACTGGAATTTTTTGTGTTAAATTTAAATTTACTGACAAAGAAATAAAGGGAGATTAAAGGTAAAGGTTCCCCTCGCACATATGTGCTGGTCGTTCCTGACTCTAAGGAGCGGTGCTCATCTCCGTTTCAAAGCCGAAGAGCCAGCGCTGTCCAAAGACGTCTCCGTGATCGTGTGGCCGGCATGATTCAACGCCAAAGGCGCATGGAACGCTGTTCCCTTCCCACCAAAGCTGGTCCCTATTTTTCTACTTGCATTTTTTACCTGCTTTCGAACTGCTAGGTTGGCAGAAGCTGGGATGAGTCACGGGAGCTCCCCCTGTTACGCGGCACTAGGGATTCAATTCACTAGGGTTTCACTAGACTAGACACAACCAACATATGTTCCGTCATATGTTTTAATCTTCTGGTGAATTTTTTTCTCTTTTCCCCTTCTCACCAGAGCAGACCCTCTGTCAACAAATACATCATGTGCCATGATCAAGAGAGCCAAAGGAGGTGATGGTAAAGCTGGGACTACTATCCCCATAACAATCCAAATAGACTGTTTGTGTTGACCGGGGCTTATGGGCGATCTTAGCCTAGATTTGGAGATCATTAAAAAAAAAAAGTAAAAAAAACGAGAGAGAGGGAGAGAGAGAGAGAGGGAGAGGGAGAGAGAGAGAGAATGGAGATCAATGGTGAACTGAAGTTGTGAATTTGTAACCCATCCTGACCGGAGAGAGTCCATAATAGGTTTTCAGATGTGGAAGCTCTTCAGATAGAGATAATATGTTAACTGTGGAGGTGACATAAAGCATTTGGACTAAAGTCTTTCTCATTTCTAACAGACCTACCTGCGTGGACAGTCCAAATTTGTAGGTCTAAAGTTGTCTGTCTAAAGCTGACCATCTATAGTTGACCATCCAAAGTTGACCATCTAAAGCTGACCATCTAGTTGACCATCTAAAGTTGATGGTCTAAAGCTGACCATCCAAACTTGACCAGCTAACCTTGACCATCTAAAGTTGATGGTCTAAAGTTGACCATCTAAAGCTGGCCATCTAGTTGACCATCTAAAGTTGATGGTCTAAAGCTGACCATCCAAAGTTGACCATCTAAAGTTGACCATCTAAAGTTGACCATCTAAAGTTAATGGTCTAAAGCTGACCATCTAAAGCTGACCATCTAAAGTTGACCATCTAAAGTTGATGGTCTAAAGCTGACCATCTAAAGTTGATGGTCTAAAACTAACCATCTAAAGTTGATGGTCTAAAGCTGACCATCTAAAGCTAACCATCTAAAGTTGACCATCTAAAGCTAACCATCTAAAGTTGATGGTCTAAAGCTGACCATCTAAAGTTAACCATCTAAAGCTAACCATCTAAAGTTGATGGTCTAAAGCTGACCATCTAAACTTGACCATCTAAAGCTAACCATCTAAAGTTAATGGTCTAAAGCTGATAGTCTAAAGTTGACAATCTAAAGTTGACAGTCTAAACTCTAAATTGACAGTCTAAAGTTGTGGGTGCTCCATCCATGGAGGTTTTCAAGAACAGACTGGACAGCCATTTGTCCGGAATCCTATAGGATCTCCTGCTGCCATGGGCAGGGGGTTGGTGTACAAGACCTCCAAAGTCCTTTCTGTTATTCTATGTTCTATCTTTTCCCCAGTGGAAACAGATTAACTGAGTTGGAAGGGACCTTGTAGGTCATCTAGTCCAACATCCCCACCCAAGCAAGAGACCCTACACCCTTTCTGACAGATGGCAGTCCAGTCTCTTCTTGAAAGCCTCCAGTGATGAAGCTCCCACAACTTCCGAAGGCAACTTCTGTTCCATCGGTTTGATTGTTTTCACTGTCAGAACCTTTCTCCTTATTTCCAGGTTGAATCTCTCCTTGTTCAGTTTCCATCCATTATTCCTTGTCTGGCCTTCAGAGGTGCCTTGGAAAATAGCTTGACTCCTTCCTCTCTGTGGCAGCCCCTCAAATATTGGAAGACTGCTCTCCTACCTCCCCTGGTCCTTCTCTTCACTAAACTAGCCAGGCCCAGTTCCTGCAACCATTCATCGTATGTTTTAGCTTCCAGCCCCCTCATCATCCTGGTTGCTCTTCTCTGCACTCTTTCTAGAGTCTCAACATCAGACCGAACCTTCACACACCACCAACTGGAAAAAAAGAAATCTGGGGCTCCCGCACCTGACTTATACACGTTCCGGAGGCAGGAGAGAGAGGCGTTGAGTCGGGCGCATTCTTCCCAATTCGCCCCAAATTTCTCCACCGTCTTGCAGACCTGCTCGTCTGACATCTCTAAAAGGTCTTCCAGACTCAGTTGCCCGGAGGAGATTTGCTAGAGGAAGAGAGAAGAAAGAGCAAGAAGGAGATTTAATCGGTTAGAGCAGGGGTCCCCAACCTTTCGGACCTCAGGGACCACTAAATTCATAATTTGAAATCCCACGGACCACTAATATGATCTGCCTAATGACCGGCTGGGTGGGAGTGGCTAGGTGGTCATGTGACTCAATGGGCATGGCCAACTCGATGTCACTCACATTGAGGGCGCCGGCCTCTACTCACCCCTCCCCTCCCAGCCCCTCCTTTCCTCCCCACCCGGGCTCCTTAGGGCCCCAACAGGAAGCAGTTGTTGGAGCTAAGCAGCCCCCACGAGAAAGAGTTGGCAAAACAGCTTAGTTCAAATTGGATCTGACCGAGAAGGAGGCTCAGCAGAAGCACCTCACTGAGGACTAGGAGCATAGGCTTTCCAAGCAGAGGGAAGACCTGTGGGAGTGCAAGGCCAGCTACCAGCGCCTGGAGGCTCAGCGGGCTGAGATGGTCAGCCAGTTCCAGGCCATGAGGCAGTCCCACTGGAAACAAGGCTCTCCGGCTCTTCGCCACCAGCGGTGCTTCCCTCCAGCCTTCGCCCAAAGCCCCACACCAGGAGGCTGAAGGAGACCCCAAGTCGGAATTTCTGCCCCCTTCCAACCCACACAAAAAGACCCCCAAGCGGGAGACTCTCTGCAGCAACACAAACGTTCATTGCACGTATCCGTCCCAGGGGCCGTAGTTTGAGGACCCCTGATTCAGTGCAATATCAAAAAATGCAAATAATTTTTCTGCGGACCACCAAAATTTTCTCACGGATCACCGGTTGGTGACTGCTGGGTTAGAGAAGTTAGCAACGGAAGGTGGCTGGCCAGCTAAAACTTGTCCCCGTGAGGAATGTTAATTTGTGAAAAGAGTCCTGCAAAAGAAGGCTGCAACGTGGAACGCTGCTATTAGTACAGGCTTACAACAGTTGATTTAGAGACAGTTCCAAGTTACAACAGCACTGAAGAAAAGTGACTGATATGAACCATTTTTCACACCGATGTCCGTTGCAGCATCTCCATGCTCACGTGATCGAAATTCAGGCGACTGGCTCGTATGTATGACGGTGGCAGGGTCCCCAGAGGTCATGTGATTCCCCTTTTGCAACCTTCCGACAAGCCAAGTCAATGGGGAAAAGCGGATTCACTTAACAACCGGGCTACTCATTTAACCACCGCAGTGATTCGCTTAACAAAAGTGGCCAGAAAAGTCGTAAAAATGGGGCAAGACTCAACTCAGCAGATTCCTGACACTGAGCAACATACATTTCGGGCTCCATCGTGGCCCATAATTTGAGGATTATCTGCTGTATACCTGCTGCTCCATTCCACTCGGAATTTCTTCCTCGTCTCGTTGGAAACGCAAAGCGAGACTTTATAAAAGGTGGAATCAACGCGGCTTCCATACAAGATTCAATTTGTTTTCACGAGGTCCCCCACTCCTCTTCCCTCGGATTTCAGCACATTGACAGCAAGCCACATTATCTACCCAGTTTCTATTCTGAGAAATAGCCACTGGGTAGCAGTCCTTCTGGGATACTCTCTAGGCTTCTCAATCTTACGGGCAATTTAAAAGCGGGGGGTGGGGGAGAGAAATGGTTCCTAGCTGTGGGAAGCTTTAAAAGAGATGCAATATTGGAAGAAAGAAGATCTACCTACTGTAGAAGAATGGACATTAAAAGTATCGAACTTAGCAGAAATGGCGAAAATCTCAGCATATTTGAAAGACCAAATCACAAGAACGATATATTGTGGATTGGAGAAGGTGGATTGATTATATTCAAAACAAATATGGGACTAAAAAGTTTCAAATAATATATATATATATTAATTTGATTTATATGCTGCCCTTCTCCGGAGACTCAGGGCGGCTTACAATGCGTTAACAATAGCCTTCATACTTTTGTATGTTTATACAAAGTCAGCTTATTGCCCCCACAAACTGGGTCCTCATATGAATGAATATTTGGATTTAAGAAGGTATGTTATTACTTAGCTACGTAAATAGGGAGTTAAAGTGAAAAAGGGATGAAAAGAGTTTATAGATAGTTAGCATATGTTAGATTAAGATTGCTAAATGAAATACTCTGTATTTCGTTCTGGGAAGTCGGGGGGGAGAAGGGGGAGGGGAGGGAGGGGTAATGGGGTGGGAGGTGGGGCTCAAAACTTGGTTAAAATGTTTGTAAAAACTTTTCAATAAAAAAAAAAGAGAGAGAGAGAAATTGCAAAAGGCAGAATTTGGTACAACAATATTAGACTTTAGATAGGGAGAAGACGTAATTTTACTAATAACCACAACAACTTTACTCACTAGATTGCTCTTCCTCTTATCACTTGCACAAGCAGCTTTTATTATGACAAACACCTTATGCAAATCCCTCATTTGCAGCTGTAAAAATTAGTCAGTCTGTCTGTCTGTCTCTCTCTCTCTCTTTCTGTCTCTCTCCCCCCCCAATGAAATGTTCAGTAAGATAGAGCACTGCTGCCCTCTTGTGTTTCTATTGCACTCCTGCAGTGAAAAAAAAAAATACACCATTGAAGGGACTTTCTCCATCCCCTGCCAGAAAAGAAACAAACCCAGAAAATATATGTCTTCTTTATCCAGAGTTGCAAAGAGCCCATAAAACATCTGAAAAGTTGTGGAGAACTGCAATTTTTAATGTGACATAAGGGAAATCAACATGCTCAATATATTGGGGAGTATCAATGAAACGTATTGAATCTCTCTCTCTCTCTCTCTCTCTCTCTCTCTCTCTCTCTCTCTCTCT